TTAGTAGCCTCTGCTGGGTTGATTATTTCTTGAATTAAAGTGTGTTTCTATCATTTTGAACTCTATTTGTCTATATTTCCTGAATTTCTATCTTAGTCTGGCAATATTGTTAAAACATCATTGGGTAATGGTGTAAAATGGTTTTACAATGATGCAAATTAAATTTGAACTTTATGGCTATGTTTACATTATGGAAAGGGATGATTGAATAACAATAGTTATTGTTTGCAAGTTTAAATGCTTGAAATGAAATGGAATCTACCTCATCTCCTTCCATCCAATATTATCCTACTTCCTGATGTGGGAGTATGAGCTTGAATGAACTTATTGTTTACTAATCTTCTTGTGATGTCATTCACTTCCCAAACAATAAACTAAAAACTTTCCTTCATTTCGTCATTAAATATCCCAATACTTTTGTGGTAATTTTATTTTGATTTCATCATAAAATATCCCTACACAATTACATTTCTTTCCACCTATTATTAGATATCCAAATTAAGCATTTAGGGTTTTATATTCAGTATCATGCAACAATCAGGTATCTATTCCTGCTTAAAGTAGTAAAGATCTTACTTTGCAGTTTCTTGCTCCAATTCAGAAGGTTTGCTTGTTTGAGTAGGCTAAACTTTTGGAAAGAAATTAATTTATGGCTACTTGCCATTATATAAAAAGAATTGATAAAAATTTAGGGAGTTGCTCATGCACCAGGAATTTTGCCCTAGTTAAGTTTTTAAATATTAATTAACAGCTGGTCACAATAAGTGTTCAGAAGTTTATTAAATATGGTCAACAGCCAATAAATGTTTGACAACCCACCTTAGATATTGTTACCTGTGTGAAATAAACGAATGTTACAGTAATGTAAAATATAATGTGTTAACAGGAATTGCTATGGTAACCGTTGTGGTTGTATGGTCAAGATTTGTCAATTCTTGTGTTTCATCCTATCACTCTTGTGAAATTATGCGAGTTAATCCTAATCAATCAAAATATATGTTCAAGATTAGATTTACGTACAACAACTTTACCATCCATGTATGGTTTTGTTTGTGTACTGTGTCAACATCATGCAATATCTATTTCTGCTTAAATTAGTAGAGAACTGGGCTTGCAAGTTTCTAGCTCCAATTCTAAAGGTTCTCTTGTTTGAGTAGGTTAACATTTTGGTATGAAAGTGATTTCTGAATACATGCCTACTAGATATACAAGGCTATACTCAATAGAAAATATAGGGGAATGATACCAAGGTGAGCTGTCAAATATTTAACAGTGGTCTGTTCAACTAACAACCGATAAATGTTTTACAACTCATATTGGATATTGTATTAAGTGTAACTGGCATTGCTATTGTTCCAAATATTTCGTGGATAGTGGTACCTAATATTTCCTTCTTAACCTGTAGCCTAGAGGTATATCATGTTTTGTTCTGATATATTTGAAATTTCTGTATTTGGATACCTTCTGGATACCCCAAAACCCTGTAATAAACATGATTTTTCCAAAGAAACAATAAGTTGCATCCCATTAACTGTGAAATTGAAATTGATTTGGGTTCACCACCACCAATAACACGCCATCAATGTGTGTATAATGCAGTTTGTCTTGTGTTCCTGCTGTATTCTTCTCCCTTACTTGTTTTCCTTTGATATTTTGAACACACTGGAAGATGCAGAAGGTGAATGTCCAATATCCAGCGAGGTGATGATTGATATGGGGCAGGAGAGTCAGACTCAGAAACCCAGTGATTCTTCTGTAGCGGACACTATTAAGGTTATTGACACTGAGAATGAGTGTACAGGTCCAAATGTTTGTCCTTTTGATCATAGTCACATGGGAATTAATGATGAATGCCAGACATCAAATATTTTCCATGATGACAACCTTCATACTAATGATGTCAATAGAGGACAGTTTTGTGAGAACCCCTGTGCTACCTCAGTTAATATATCAATGACTAGTACTGATGTTAAAAATAAGGAGGAAATATATGTTGCACCAAAGATTGGTATGGAGTTTGAATCAGAAGACAATGCTTACAGATGTTATAGCATGTATGCTGTCCTGAAAGGTTTCAGCATAAGAAAGGACTTTGTCAACAAAAGTAGGATAAATGGTACAGTGGTATCCAGAAGATACACATGCCATAGACAGGGTTATCGTCCAAACAAAAATGGTACATACTTGAGGAAATTGCAGCAGGAAACAAGAACTGGTTGTTTAGCACACATGACTATTGCTCGTCAGTCGAATGGCAAGTTTCGGGTCACTCATTTTGAAACTGAGCACAATCATGAGTTTGTAACACCCTGTACTGCTCATATGTTACCATCACAGAAAAGATTGAGCTTTGTTCAAGCTATTGAAGCAAACTTAACTGGATCCGGTTTAGATGGGGTACCAAAACTGGGAATGGGATTTGATTCAGAGGAGCATGCATATGAATTTTATAATACATATGCTGGACACGTAGGTTTCAGTGTAAGAAAAGATTATGTAAATAGGAGCAAAGTTGATGGTGCCGTGGCATCTAGACGATTTACTTGCTTTAGAGAAGGTTTTCGGCAGAAAGACAAACACGATACAAATGCAAAGAGACCACGAAAGGATACTAGAATTGGATGTTTAGCCCAACTGGTAATTTCTCGCCAACCTGATGGTAGGTATCATATTACACACTTTGAAGAAAAGCATAATCATGAACTTGTTGCTGCATGTAGAGTGCACATGTTAAGATCACAAAAGGGGCTAACTGCTACTCAAGTTGAAAACAACATTGTAGATAGATCCAATGTGCTGCCTACATCAACCTCTCAAACCAATTGCAAGGCTATTGAAGGCTTTGCAGATCTGGATTATGATCCTATAGGCCATAAAGATAAACTACCTTTCAAATGTACGAGCAAAATAAAAGAGGGAGAAATTGAAAAGATTAAGCATCACTTCCAAATCAAGAAATCAAAAAATCCTTCTTTTTTTTATGCTTTCCAGCTTGATGTTGACGATCAAATAACTAATATATTTTGGGCGGATACAAAGATGATGGTAGATTACAGTGATTTTGGTGATGTTGTTTGTTTTGATAGCAGTTATAAATATTATAAGGACTCCCGACCACTTGTTCCATTCCTTGGTATAAATAATCACCAGCATATGACTATCTTTGGGGCTGCACTTCTTTATAATGAATCTGAAGAATCTCTAAAGTGGCTGTTTGGAGTTTTCATTGAGGCAATGTCTGGAAGAAAGCCGAAGACAATCCTTACAGATCTAGATGTAGTAACAGCTGACGCAATAAATGCCTTATTACCTCAAACGAATCATCGAGTTTGTGTATGGCATGTCTATCAAGATGCTCTCAAGCAGCTGAGTCATGTTTCTGTTGGATCTGGTTCTTTTGCAAATGATTTAAGAAGCTGCTTTTTTTATCACGAGGAGGAGGATTATTTTGTTAATGAATGGAATGCTCTCCTGGACAAGTATAATCTGTGGGAAAATGAATGGTTGCAACAAATATTTGGAAGCAGAGATCGATGGGCCATAGCATATGGAAGACAATGTTTTTGTGCCGACATGGAAAGCATGCTACTGAGAGAAAATCTTAGTGGCAAACTGAAAAGGTACTTAAAGCTAGACGCAGACATTCTTCCACTTTTCAAATATCTTGTTAAGGTTGTTACTGATTGGCATTACAAGGAATTAGAAGCCAATTATGACATGAGCCAGCGTATGCCACCGCTAATGGGGGATATCATTACGTTAAAGCATGCTAGAGCTCCATACACACCAAAGATATTCGAGTTATTTCAGAAAGAATATGAAGCATGTTTGAATCTAGTAATAAAGCATTGCACTGAGAATGGATCGGTGTATAATTATAAAGTTAGCGTATATGAACAGACACGGCAGTATTCGGTTGTGTTTGACTCTTCTAATGAGACAATCAGTTGCAGCTGTATGAAATTTGAGTATGTGGGAATATTATGCTGCCATGCATTGAAAGTTCTTGACTATATGAACATAAGGATCGTTCCATCCCAGTACATCTTAAAGAGATGGACAAAAGATGCTAGAGTTTGAACTTTCAAATTTCAGAGGCAAATTGGAACTAGTGAGTTGAAGGGTTTAGATTAACCAAGGCTGACATTTGTAACCATGACATACAAAGTAGCGTTTCATTACCAGAACAGGCAGCCTATGTAACGTATAAGTCTTTTCTGAAAAGTGTACATAATCTTCCTGAAAGGTTAGTTGCATCTGTATGTAAAAGACTATATATATATATATATATATATATATATATATATATATATATATATATATATATATATATATATATATATATATATATCAAATTTCAATTGTTTAAGGAAAAAATGTGGTTTTTAAATGTGATTTGTACAAATAAATAATGTAAACTAACTTTCTTAAATGACATAAATAAATTTCTCTTGTTTATATTGGAGAATGTAGTACACTATACAACAAATTTGACGCACAATATTTAAAGAAAAAAGACATTTTAAGGGAATTTTTTTAAATCTAACCGCGGTATGTTCCTCGTCCATTTTGTTGCTGAGAATTCGCTATTGTCAGCATATCCTTCCTTTTGGTGATTATAAACCAATTTGCAATTCCTGTTATAGAAGTCTGATTTATTTTGTTAATAGGCACCATTATCTTGAGAAGGAAGATTTAGCTACAAATTGAGAGTCACTTCTACAAAAATGCTAATACATTTTAAAATAACGAATTGCTAAACAATCGTTATACATGGGAAAGACATTTGAACAAAAGAGGGGACAAAAAGAGAGATGGTGAGGGTGGAAATAGAAAAAGGAATAACTGTCAGAAGGCCACTAATGACCAATGTTGCTATATACCTGGGGAATGCAACAAGGGTCATATTTATGACCATTGGTTCTAACTAATGTGATACAATACAACCCCATCTCAACCAAGCTACATTTACAAGATTGCACTGATCTTTCCTCCCATGGTTAATATTTGAAGTTTTCAGCATTCTGGTATCCATGTTGAATATTTGGTGATTCATTCTCATGAGTTGGAAGTGTGGTGGAAGTTGAAGTTAGAGGCTGAGTCAAGGTGCGACCATTCTTTCCCTGGAAATGCTTAGTGCCAGTGGTTTTCAATACAGGTCTGTTAGGAGGAAAATAAGTTTTGCTCTCTGCCATAGTGGGAGTGGATTTCCTTCCATCTTTATATGTTTCAGTATGTGCCAGTAGGTCCTGAAAACCAGCAATTGAGATATTAGTCAGAGTATTATTAAGTAAATAAAGAACTAATACAGTTACTTCTCTTCCATTTTACTTTGTCTAGATAAAAAAAGTATACTTTAATGATATTATACATAGTGTAAAATTAACAATTTTAATTTTGGTACTTATATATTTATATTTTTATCTCTGCAAAATTAAAATTCCTATTTTTAGTCTTTATAAAATATATGAATTTTGATTTTAATATTGTACAAAATATGTATATATATATAAATACAAATATGTAAGTGATTGGAATTGATCATTGGACTTTTTTTAACATTATTACTCCTTAATTATTTAACTCAAACAATTAACTAGTATAACATGAGATAAAAATAGTAATTTTTAATTTTAAATAGACAAAGAAAGGAAAAATAAAAAACTAAAACCAAAACTCGTTAATTAAGACTAAAACCAAATGGAAGGTAAAAAAAATATAAGAGAAAACGTTAAAGGAGTAGGCAAGAGTAGTACTGAAATTTTGCATACTTTCATGGATTCGCACTAAACGAGGGTTTGTCTGATTTGAAAGATATTTGTTGTTTTTATCTTTTAATTTTACTTCTAATTCTGAAAACGGCACATTATTTTCACCTTTTTTCCTATTTATGAAACTTTGTATTTGTTTTTTCATAAGAAAACAGGTGTGTATAGATAGAAAAGAACTTTGTTTGCACTGTTATCTATACAGACTATCAAAAAGAGAACAAAAAGTAAGAATAAAATATTGTATTGTCTCAAATAAAAAGAAAAAAATAACCCCTATCCCTTGAAATCTCTGCATTGTCCAATCTTAAAGTCCAAATAGTCAACAACATTGTAATTGTAATTTGTAATTGTTAATAATTTGTGAAAAAAAAAAAATTACCTTTGTTGTCTCATTCTTGCATGTTTTCCTTTCCTTATAAAAGTCAGGTAGTGGCCTGGCTTTGAAGCAAAAGCTTTGGCGTAGTTTTTTTATTATCTCAGTCTCTGTTTTCTCCTGCAAAGTAAGAAGATTGATGTAATTGATTAGCTGAACTCTAAGGAACAAAGTAAGATAATTCTCACAACAATGTTTTACTTGGTATTGATTATACTTGTCACCCCACCTTGAGTTTGGTATGCAGCTGCACCTTTTGTGCTTCATTAGCATTGAACTTTTCTTCAAGTTTCTAAAATTGATGAAGATCAACAGATAAGTACTTGGATAACCAAACTCTCATAATCAACTGAATATAAGAGAAAAATAAAGTTTTAAGGTTTTGCCTTCTTTCTTCTTGCAGCCCTTTCTTCTGTCCTCAAGCTGAAAGGGGATGATATGACTGGGGACTTCATTCTGTTTCTGCATGCGAATAATCCATTGTTAATAAAGGTCTACTAAAGACACAAACAAGGAACACGAAAGCCCCTTAAAGATCTATAGACCATAAAGATGCTAGATCTTTCAATCAATAACAAGGGAAAACAAAAGCCCCTTGATGAATTGCTGAGAATGTCTTTAGATCCAACATGAATTGGCACATAAATAGGGATAAAGCTGAAGTTTGAGGCTTGTATGTATATATGTGTATATCTATCTCCAGTAGTTCGGTAATCTATTGAAGGGAAATGATAAAGATGAGTAATTATTTATTTTAGTCTTCTTTATATGAAGGAAGATCACTTTTATCAGCTACTCATGAGACACCTTAGTTTGTGCTTTCCAACCTTGACTTCAAAATTTTAGTATTCGTGTAATCTAAGTGGAGATAACTTACTCTCCAGAAAGAAAGCGCCATTTAGGACCACCAGTATGATTGCCTGGTGCTGAGGATAAATCAAGAGGTGTTTTGTTCCTGAAATTTTACAAAATTTCAATACAGGATGAGAAAGAGCTAGAAGAAAACTAAAAGCAGACAGTATCGCATAAAAATTATAATTATAACTAACATAATTTTACAAATCAAGTACCTTTTCTTTTCAGTTAACGGGGTCAATGAAGAATGCTTTTGAATCTCCTTGGAAGCCTGCAATTGTAAAATGACTCTCTTTTAACATCCTTGACATAAATTGCCACATGAATGAGCATGCCAAAATAAAAGTAGGGGGCTTGGAATAGGGTGAAAATTTATAAGATAAAACAAAAAAGCTGAAATACCATGGTTGGAGTTCTTATAGGAGTGAAGTTATCCTTTGAAGCCTTGGAAGAACTAGCACCAACTCTTGTACTTTCAAACTTTCTCATGACTGATGCAGTCAACCTATTAAGTTCCCTAATGGGAGTAAAATTAACTGACCTTGGAGTAGATCTCTTTTTATCTGCAATGCTTAATACAAAAGGCATGTTGCTCATTGGTGTAGCAATATTATCTCTTTTGAAAGAAATAGCAGCAGTGGATTTAACAGGTGTAGTGGTGAACTTGGAAGGTTTATTTCTCATAGGTGAAGCAATGTTATCTCTTTTGAAAGAAATAGCAGCTGTAGATTTAACAGGTGTAGTGGTGCACTTGGAGGTTCCACTTGCAGGTTTTTTGCTTATTGGTGAAGCAATGTCATCTTTTTTGGAAGAAATAGCAGTTGTGGACTTAACAGGTGTAGTGGTGAACTTGGAGGTTCCATTAGCCTTTGACAACTTAAAGGAAGAAACTGGGGGTTTCTTCTTGCCCACACTAGCCAAAACTTCCTGATCAGATACCACCTGCTGCAATAACAAGTCAGTGCTGTGACCTCAAAATATCAAAACAAGAAAAGGATTCCTGGAAATAAATTAACATAACAACCTTCACTAATGGTGCCAAAATTGGTGTTACAATTACACTAAGCTTTTCACTTTGCTCCCTTTGTGCATCAAGATCTTCAAGCTGGTTTTGCAATTCAACCTCCATTGAGTTTCCTACAACAGAAACTTCTTCTATCTCTGCCTCAGATCTCGCTTCCTTGACGCTTTCAGGTGTAACACTTGCCTCTTCACTAGAACTTGAATCATGCTCACCGACTGTGAGTCTGATCATGCCATTATTGTCATCAGAGGTAACAGTCAAAACCTTTGCACCTTGCTCTACCTTGACAACCATTTCAGAATTTGGACTTGATTGTGAATTATGAGTGTCAGTGTCATTTTGATTGTCATTGTCAATTCGTCCCTCATCTTCTTGTCCAGTGGCAGTTTTTTGTGCCCCATTGTTTGCTTGTTCAAGCAATGCAGCAGCCTTCTGAGCAGCAAGCTTCTTGTAGTGAGCTTCAAAGAAAGCCTTCTTCTGCGCAACAGTTCCAGGTCTTGAGTACCTCTCTGCCTCTTCCACATAGCGGTTGTGGGAGAAACTAGACCACTTCTCCCATGCCAGTGACTCTGACATGAACCTCCCAAACGAAATTGACTGCCCAAGTGCATGAATTGGGTTGTTCTGAAACGCACAAGTTTCACAGTTTTTTCAAGGTGAACCTTCATTGAACATAGAAAGAAAAATCTCTTCTTGATTAATTGCACCCAACACAAGGCCAGAATACAATACAAAGCTTCAATCAACTATGTTACTGTAACCCAACTCAACCCATCAGACATTAATCAATGTATCAGGACTATTGTTTACAATCCATGGTTTGACCCTTAGAAGAACAACATTTCTTTTTCATTTCTAATTCTTAAACTATGACTCAAGACCCAAAAATCATGTTCATATTTGCTAATCATGTTATTTCGTGGGTGAAACTTAGATTGCACTCTCCAAACTAAGTTTTGAGGCATATAATTACAAGCAAACTACAATCCAAGTCCATGTAAAATACTACAAGGTTATTTTGTGGATGAATTGCACTTTCCAAACTAAGGTTTAAGGTATACAATTACAAATAAACTATAATCCAAGGGGTTCCCAAACCAAAATAGTTGAATGAAACTCACAAAAGAAAGCAGAAATGAACAACCTTTTGAAAATACAAATTTGTTTTCTTTCATTCCATTGTTTCATACACTACATGCATAACCAAGTAAAAGAGTAAGAAAAACATTTAAAAAATATGGAAGTTATAAGAGGGAGTTTAACAACCCAATAATGCGTATTCGGGAAAACAGATATGACTGCTCTATGAACTGACCTCGTTGGCTTCATTGGAAATGCCTGAAGCATAACAGAATGGTTGCTGCATGAGACAAGTCGAGTCCCCCATGTTTCACTGCAACGTCGAAACCTCAAAAGATCCAAACTTTACCACATTATTATTATGATTCTCTTTGTTAGTATTAGCATTATTAGTATTATTGTTATATATTTTTTATGTATGTGACCGTTTGTTTGTGGGTACATCCACGTTCAAATTTGAATTTCAAATCAGAAGCATGGTTGGTTGTGTTGTGTGTGTGGATGATGTGGAAAAGCAGACAACTTTAACAGATTATAAAAAGTGAAGTGTCGTGCAATCTTCAATCTTTCCAAGTTTCCAGATTGTAGGGCCCACCTCAAAGTGTTTGGAGGAGGAGCCTCCTTCTTTCTTCACATTCACACAGTAATAATAATGTCTAAAATGAGGTTACAGTAAATTTACAATTTTTATAGTAATTATTTTAAAGTTGGACTAAGTTATATAGATGAATCTTTTATACTTTTTATCTTTTCTTTTAAAAAATTAATTTGATTATTTATGTTTTTTAAATGGGGAATGAGAAAATGCATCCCTGAAATCGAAAAAGAAAAAAAAGGAAAGAGACTGGAGGAAATGGAGGAGTAATTTTAAATATTAATAAAATTAAATTTAAGTTGATAAGAATATTTTAATATTTGAGAAACATAAAAGATTAATTTTTCTTTTAAAAGACAAGAGATCAAATTAAAAAGAATCATTTGTATAATTTAGTTGGATGATAAACAAAATATAGTAAAAATTATCAAAGATTCAGTTAGGATAATATTATATATTTCATTTAAAGAATACATCAAATCATATATTAAGTATTATTAAAAATTTTATCTTTTCTCCTTAAAAGACATATTGATGAATTAAGAAAAAATGATATATTTAAAGTACTTTAATCTCGACTCTTAAAAAATATATAATTTATGAACAAAATATAAATCCTCAATAAAAACTAAATTATATATATATATATATATATATATATATAAATAAATAGAATAGAATTCTACTATCACCCCTTAATTTTTAATATTTCTTTTAATTCTTAAGAAATTTGTGCCAAACTTCTTCATTATTTTAAAAATTATTTACTATAACAAATTATAAATAATTATTTATAATATTTTTTTTACTATTAGTTCATGGGTTTATGTATATTTTTCAAAATCATGTTGAAATAAATACTCGTTAACGTGATTTGATTTTATATTTTAGAATTATTTGAGTGTGTATAAAAATTGAAGCAAGGATTTTTAACTTTTACGTTTTTTTACGTGAATTTAACAAGAAAATGAAAGACAACGTTCGAAACTTGAATTCAAACAAATGGCGAGTTAAAGAATTGTGTTTGTATTTTGTGAATTTTATAATTGATTTATAGTTGAAACAATTGTAAATAACTTTTATGTTTTTGAAAAAAAAAAATATATATATATATATATATATATATATATATATATATATATATATATATATATATATTAAGCTTTATTGTTAACTTGTTTTTTAGAATAAAAAACATTGAAACACCATTCATTTTTACCTCAAAAACAATTTAATTAAAATCAATGCAAAAAAAAATTCATTCACCCAAACATACTAAATAAGAAACGTGTTCAACACAATTAATAGACTTTCTTATGTCCAAGTTTCTCTTGTTAATGTGGTTTGAATTTGGTGAAGCTTCAATTCAAATTAATGTTTGTTTTGTTTAACAGAAGCTAATTCTTGGACATGCAAGTTGGTGGCAATGGTTACAAGCATCAATGCATGAGAGAGAAGGTGAAGATGTAACATGTTCAACAACAAGTGGTTGCAACTTTGATTTAGGGTTATGATATTCTGTTGAAAATCTCAAATGAACTAAAAACATTATAAAATTATATAATATATGTAGAGAGAGGGATATAAATTTCATTTTAAATTTTAGTTTTATAAAATTATATTATATTAAATTTAAAAATAATTTTTATTATGATATAAATATTAGTGATATCAAAATAGGTTTAATTCATCCAAAAAAAATTATATTAAATTAAAAAATGTATCATCTAAATTAAATCACTTAATTTTATTAAATATATACCATTTGATATTGTATATCCAATAATTTACTTACATAGAAATAGTGATGATTAATTTATTATTTAAAAATTATTAATAACAAATTTGAGTTTTTATTTCTTTTTATTTTTTTAATTTATTTTTGTATTTTTATATTTTTACTTTTAAAAATATATAAATTTAGTTCTTTTATATTTAAATTTAATGTTTAGTTCCAAACATTTAATTAACATAGTGTTAATTACTTAAAGAAAATACTCAGGAGACATCAATAATTATAAAAAAAAATAGAATTGTTTCATAAAGCAAAAAAGAACAAGGAATCACGTGATGTAATGATAATAGCTGTAATTGAATTATGAATGTGCACGTGCCTGTTTTCCCAAACGTTAGATAGATTCGGCAGAATCACATGAGGGGAGTCCCATGTGAGTGTAATTGGGCCCTAAGATAGATTTTTTTTTTCATAAATAATACTATTTTAAAAATTATTTTTCAAAATAGCATATCTAGAATATTATTTACCAAACTAGCACTGATTAGTGTTTACAGTACTTTCATTCAAGCGAAAATTACATCGTTTGAGCGATGAGGCATGGAACTTAAGAGTTTTGTGGGATTTAATTTTGTTCTTGCTTGAGCAAGAAGTTCTCTCGCTCAAATGAGAAATCATTCGCTTGAGCGAGGAGACCTGAAACTAATGGGTAATCTCAGGTGTTCTTTCGCTCCAGCGACAACTAATTTTGCTCGAGCGATAACTGATTTAAATATGTGATGACCCAAGTTGCATTATATGGCTAACTGCGTTGGACCTTTAACATGTGATCAATTCTCACTCAAACGATGGGTAATTTCGCTCGAGCGAAAAGTGATTAGCTATAATCAATTATAATTTAAACTTATTTAAAATTATGATCGATTATTTCTCTCTCGCTCAAGCAAGAAATCTATCGCTTGAGCGATGAGATATGAAACTAACGGGTAATGTCGGGTCAATTATCGCTCAAGCGATGAGTAATTTCGTTCGAGCGAGAAGTGATTGGCTAACTGTGTTGGACCTTTTGCTTGTGGTCAACTCTCATTCAAGCGACATATTCATCGCTTGAGCGAGAAAATTTATAATCGATTATAATTTAAACTAATAGATCATAATTTTAAAATAATTGATTATTTCTCTCTCGCTCAAGCGAGAAATCCATCGTTTGAGCAAGGAGACCGGGTGTTTTTTCGTTCAAGCGATGTGTAATTTCGCTCGAGTGAGAATTGATTGAAATATGTGGTGACTCAAGTTGCATTATGTGGCTAACTACGTTGGAGCTTTAGGCTGTGGTCAACTCTCGCTCAAGCGAGAAATCCATCGCTTGAGCGAGGAAACCTGCAATTATTTATAATCGATTATAAGCTAAACTAATCGATTATAATTTTAAAATAATCGAATATTATATCTTCACTAGTCAACTTAAGCCTTTTGCAATAATTGTTCATAAAACCCACAAAGGCTTATCTAATTATTTTCGTATTCAAAAATTTGTCCTTGATAATTTTAAGTTATACACTCCCTGGACTGCAAATTGTAACCTTGTCAGCATATCTTCGATTCAACCATGAACAAGATTGAACAGCAAAAAAACTCAAGTAAAGGATATTAACAATTCATGTAACAAACTAGTATTTCTATTATGATTTGTTGTCAATATAGTTATCCTTATTGTAAGAGCAGATGAACCCATGAATTACTTCATTGTAGGTAATCCCCACTCTGCAAAGAAGAAATTTTATTAATTGAAAAACTCATAAGTTTCATACATTGGGGCATTTATTAACTAACACAATTTAATTATGTGAAGTAGATGCACGTGCAATATTAGGACATATTCTTCTGTTATGACCAGGGGTATGACAATATGAACATTTTTAATCCTACTTTGATTTTTTATAATATTCATCTCAGTTCTTATACAACTTGATTTTGGTCGGCCCTTTGAAGTTCTTTTCATTTCTAGATTTGCACACAAAGTAGGTCATGTGTATGTTGGCTAATATTCTTCATTTCGCAACAACCCAATTTGTGTTTCTATACCTTTGAAACTTGTTGTAAGGTATACACTAGATAAATGTAGTTATTGAAGTCATGGTGTGCATGCAGCAAGAACATGTGAACAAGACATGTGAAATTTCTGGAATTTTCCACAGTCATACCACAACTCATCAAGGCGAACTGCAAACTTCCCTGCTGGTCGAACTTCACGCGAGTTTTGTGTTTTTTCTACTACAAATTTTGTGGTTTGTCTGTTTTTTCTACTACAAATTTCTACCATATGTGTGTTTGTCTCGTGTTTGTGTTTCCTCTAAAACTCGTCACCAAAATAATATACCTTAAGATTATAAATAATTGTATTTTTTTTAGTTCTTAAAACATTATTTATTTATTTATTTTTAATTTGTGTAAGGGGGTCTTATTAATACATAAATTGTAAAGATTCTTTCACTTTAGACTTTATAATATTTTTTTAATCTATACATAAATTAATTTGAATTTATGAATTTTTGTTTTAAAAAGGTTTTATATATAAACATATTTCAATAAAGCATCCGCATTCTAATTTTCAATTAATTCGTTTGGAACATATTTAATAGGGATTAAAAGTCAATAATTATAGGATAATAATCAAAACTAAAATCAAATAATTAATGTATAGAAAAACTCTCGTAATTATTTTTAGGAATAAAAAATATTAATATAATATTTTTGTTAATATTTTTAAAATCGATTATTAGATTTAATCAAATTTATTAAAATAATATCTTTATAATATAATAAATATATAATAGATTCATTAGAAATAATGTTATTTAAAAAAATAATAAAAATTATTATTATCGTTACCATTATATTTAAAGTTATAAATATAAAAATATTTTTTTTATAAAAATAGAAAATCTAACCTATTTTTTTAATTTTACCAAATTTGTTCCAATTTAATTATATAGAAATAAAAAATTGATATAAGAATCGATTCCTGCAGTTGGATTTTCAAAATAGTGGTATTTCTAATAAATTCTTTAGTTTGAGTTATTTATATTATAGCTTTTGAATTGACTATATTCTTCTTGTCCTCTCTCGTACCATGGAGTAGAAAACACTTTGTATGAGATACAAAGTTTATCTTTTTCACATTCTTTTTAGGATAATATAAGAGCTTGAAAGTTTACAGATATTCCAGTGATATACATGATGTAAATTGTTTTCATCAATTCCAATATCTTCTCTTCTTTCTTTCTTTCTGGCATTACTCTTTTATGCATCAGAGCTCTGAAATGTCAACACAAGATACATAACTGGTTTTATTATATAAATGAGTTTTTACAGCGATTATTGCGAGGGATAAGATCCATAAAACTATTACATTGAAGACTACATATGTCAGCACTTAGAAAACCCCTTTGCTATAACAAGGAAAAAATGAAAATGAGAATTATACAGTATTTCCCTCACCTATGCTATGCTGCAGGATTATCCAATCTCTTGTTATACATTGCTGAGATCTTATGTTCTCTGGGTACAAAAAAGGTACAAGCAATCTCAAATTGAAGAACAGAAGATTTCTCAATCATTAATGTTCATTAACAATATCAAAAAATAGGAGGCCTTTTAGAGGGTCAGAATAGCTTGCTTTGCATAAATGATGTCACAGGCTCACTCAAGAAACATGCCTTCAAACCTTCAATCTGTGATCCTAGCATGGAGACTTCAAATTCTGACCAACCAGCTTCACACCATGGAAAAGAAAAGGAACAGAATGTCTACAGAGGAACGTCGCTGCTGCGGCTGTGCCGATCACGTCCGTTCATATCCATGAAACCTGAATGCAAGCTTCTTCTCCTCCTACCATGTTTTGACCTGGTTCCACTTCTTCTATGACCTGAATACACCAAAAAAATGACAACCAAGAAACCTACTCCAGAAAATGCCCACAAGAATATCATCCAAAATCTGAAAGAACTAGGCATCTCATCTTTCCGAACACTTTCTGATTTTTCCTCCGTCAAGATATGATTGTTTGTGGAATCGTCATTTGCATCTAGGTTGCTCACCCTTGAGACTACACTTTCCTCTTTTTTCTCCTTCCCTTCTAATGTCAAGGAATTTTCACTTGCACATTTTCTCTTGTGGTGAAGATTCAGTGCTTCATTCAACGTTTTAGCACATTCTATGCTGAGCAGATCTCGCTGGAAATGCTCCTTGTTAGCTTGATCAAGTGTTGAGGAATCTGGTGGGTCCGGGAACTTCGTCCAGCATTTGTTGACCATGTCTACGTCACGCCAGTCTGCTTTGTCAAAGCTCCAATTCCCAACACGGAATTGCAATCCATAATGAAAGACTCTATATTTGACACCAGGAGCAGGAACATAACCCGGGTATATCAGTATCTCACTGTTTATAGTATGTTTTAATTTCAACTGCATCAAGAAAAGAACTGGTTACAGTAGTGAAATATTTTTCACACTTTAAAGATGCAATACACCATGAAAAAGAAATACACGTAGCAGCGTATAGAGAGATTAGGGATTGAAAATTTATGCTCATTCTAGTCCACAACCGGGTCCAGAACAACTCAACCCAAAAGTGAATACCATAAGATTTAATTTTGTTCACTCACCGTTAAAAAGCACATGATGAAGAAAGTACATCCCTTATAAATAAATAAGACCCTCAATTTTTTTATAATAGATAGAAAAATTATCACTGGATAACAGTTCAATACAACCTCATGTGGTTTGTATTTATGTGTTAGACATGCTTTGTCATATCCTTAATACTATCCTTTCTACAATTGCTTATTTGTAATCAACCAGAACTATCCTTGTTCAGTCATCTTTCAACAGTTAATATTAGCTTCATCACAGTGTAGTCAACAGAAGTAAAGCATCAAATCAAACCTATGAACCACAAACATAGTTGATATGCAACGCATCGTACTGAGTGTGCGTATAAGCTTCAAGATTTATGATATCTTGATATATTTCATATAAAATTGGTACATGTTGAAAGCAATTTAACCAATTCTTATTTAAGCAATTGAAAGAGAGGGCAATTTGAATAATAACGAGGAGCAATCGGACAAGTCAAGAGAGGAAGGCAGGCCGAAAAGGAATGTTGTCAAGCCCATTCACTATAGCAACTAAGGTTCAGAATACAAATTCTGTTATTAGATTCCTTAGTTTGTTAGGAAGAATTGCCATCAAGGGATTCTGTTATTATCTCCTTGCTTTTGCAGGTGCCATTAATGTAGTGAACAATCTACTCAATATATATGCTATGAATAGTAATGAATAAGAGCAGAGGAGGATTATGAGTTTATTTATATTTTAGAGACCTCGAATCCAAAGAATTATTGTGTTCATATTACAAATTTCCTACTGGTACAATCAATAAAAAAATAAAGATAAGAAAACAACTTCAACATAACTTTGAGACTTGAGATATTATTTTAATGCATCTCAAGATTTTAATTCATGATTGGCTAATGCCTATAGACATTGTGCTCATACAAGACTTGTTCAAGCAATCATGCCGTATTCTCCTTTTTATCACTAAAAATTTCATAATTGTTTCGAGCTGACAACCTGTGTCATGCAGTGTCCTGATATGCTGGAACTTGGAACCAAAAGCATAAATAAATTGGACTCAGCATGAAGAAACATCATACAAGCAATCAACGCTAGAACAATCAAGGCACCAAAATTTTTCAAGTAAAATAGCTTTTGTCAATTATAATTGTTGGAATGGGAATAAAATAAATTAGAAGGGTAGAACTTCAACGGGCTTTGTTTAGAAAGCCGTGAAAAGATGACCTTTTCTTTGCTTCATTAACAGAGCCTTAAGATTTGCAATCTGACACACTGTATACCTATGCATTTATTTTCCTTTTATTAAATTACCCGCAGCAGTTTATGTTTAATTTAAGGCATTATTTGTGAGAAATCTGATACTTTCTTCCATTATATTCAAAGTAAATTCTTTTATCCGTTTGAATGTATGATGACTAGAGTTTTTTCCATCCAAAAGACCTAATTCAATCCGCTTAAGTCTGCTTCAATTGTGTGGAAAAAATTCATAATCATTAATGACTTAAATAGCTATAATTGAAATTTGAGATTTGTTTGGTTTTGTTCCTAGAATATATGTGATAGACACTAGAATGAAAGCCAAAGGGTCCAAGCTCTTTCGAAGGATAGCACAAGTTGCAAAGCAAGTAGCAACTCCAATGACAATAGAACTAAGGAAACCACCACCTACCAAGAGCCAAAGGTCAGCATTAATTGAAAACAGGCTATATCTCTAACACTATCAAACCCATAATCATGTCAATATATAAGCTGAGTATATGATTTGTGTTAAGAATGTAAAAGCAAAATACCTCTGCTGCACCAAATGAGTAACCATACATCTCACTAATCCACCCAGATTCATATATGTCTCCTGTTATATTTCTTGCATAATGATCTCTATCAGCTCGGACCTCCTCGGTTTTATGCAGCCATAGCAATGCGAATTTCCGGAGATCATCAATATGCATAATGATTACACCACCAACCTTGTCACAAGCCTCAGGATGGCTAGTATGCAATTTCGCAAGCTCATTGTCACAGCCAATAAGGTAGCTAGCATATAAAGATTAAAGCAAACAAATGTGTCATCATAGTGAATACACGAGATAAAACAGATATCAGAAGAAACATGTATCATGTATGTGCTGCACTAGCCAACTGCAGTCAACTAATACCAACATTAACAGGTCTCATAAACATAAATTTAATTCATTATACTTACTCATAGGGTGTTGAAACAGGATGACCACGAGAAGCTTTGAATTCCCATGGTGTTATAGGGCCTCTTAAAATCATGTCAGCATCAAGAATCACTATGAATTCAGCATCAGTATTTACATGATTAAGCCAGTGAAGGACTGCAGCTGGTTTATTAATTGCTGGATACCTAAAATAAAACAGACAAACTGTCATGTTTTTTTAGCTTATAGTCTAAATCATTCTGCCACATGAAGCATTGAAAAGAGCTAGGCAGGCTCTCAATAACTGCACACTACAGGTTGAAGCATTTGGTAATTTGTATCATTTAAGCAGGAACAGTAATCATAAGGGAAAGATCAGAAGTTTAACAGTATTAAATAAATAAGTTAAATCTGAGTTCCACCCAACACTGATGATAGACTAAACCCAGAATCCTAATTTTAAGACAATCAAACACAATTTATAATCATCACATGAAGTTGATGGTTCAACTATTTTTATAAGAAAATAATGCAAATTTGGTATATCTGGTGTTTAGGTTACAGAGCATAGCAAAAAACATTATAAAAATGGATAAACTAATTTCATAATTACAAGCCAGAGGTTAGGTAATCAAAGGAAATAAAAACAATTGAAAAGGAACAACAATCAACCAAGGTAGATAACTAGTTTGATCATGATCGAGATTTTTTCATACACAACTCAGATGTTAATCATGGGATGGGAATCAACTCATTCAGATCGCTCTTACATAAATTAGCTTTAATTATCTTCAAAAGAATGATACAACAAACATTTGTCCTTTTTTGTTCCATGATTTATTTTGCAGCTAATAATGTTAACCACTTTGCCCCAATCATACAGTAAATGTTACTGCAGACAAAAAAACAGCAACTAACAAAAAAGGTTCACATACTGCAACTGAAATTTGAAATAAACAAACAAAGAAGCAATTACCAATCTCCTGTTAATGGATGTCGACTCATAGAAGGGACATAATGTGTAGGAGCCAAATCATGGCCTTTATACTTCTGCAATTCCTCATCAGAGCAGCTGAGAAGTCTAGTAATATTTCCAGGCTGTCCACTTCTATGGAAACTGTGCATAAGTCCCACAGTCTGCCAATCAAAGTATGTGGTGCATTCGGTTGAAAAAAGGGTATGGATTTTGGGATGTGGCTTCCCAGCACCATCATCAACATGTTCTTCTTTGATATCTTCCATCATTTGTAAAGTAGCAGGAGTCACATATTTTGGCTGAGTTAGTTCTGCATAAGCTTTGCTTTTCAAAAAGCTCAAGTATTTAGACCATACTGGTTTAGGGCAACCATTTACTGCATGTTGTAATAAAAGGCCTTCATTTATAATGTTTATGCATTCTATGCTTAGAAATAGGCCTCTCCTTTTATTAGGATCAATTTCCAACTGTCTCAGCTGCAATAAGATACTTTACAATTTCAGTAAAACTGAAAAAAACTGATACCACATTTATTTTCATAAATTCAGCATATTTGAACAAAAACAAAGAATTAAAATGCTGAGTATTATAAATGCATGTAATAGGAATATGTGCTTGCTTATCAGAAAATGATGAAGAATTGGTGCATTACAAATAAACATCCTTTTCTATAACACAGGAATTTCTTCTTCCAAAAGACAACCACACCATGGGGTGAGCAACCTGTTCTTTTCTACAAACATTACTTTCCTTATACAAGTATAATGGTTTACGTACCTCTTTGGGATAAGGAGGTTCTGGAAAGAGATGGTTACATTCATATACAATTCCATCATCATGGTGAGCCAGTTTATTAAATGACCAATTCCCAACAGTAAACGGCAGCCCATAGTGAAGAAGAATCGGCTCAATTCCCTCTCGAGGAACATAACCTGGGTAGATCATTAAGTTATCATTGATCTTGTGTCGAAGTCCAACCTGTGAAGAAGTGGAGGGAACCCAGAGGGGTAGACGTAAAGAAGGATACATTCAAAATAATTAGTGGAAGTGAATAGTTAAACACTACAGTGAAGTGATAGATGGTTGGAGCAGAGTTGCATCAAGTATATAGTTTATGATACTGAAATAAAAAATCATTTTAAGGCATTGAACTCACCTCTGCAGCACCAAAAGAGTATCCATACATCTCACTGATCCATCCTTTCCCGTAGATGTCACCAGTTATGTTTGTTGCCCAATGAGCCTTGTCTTCCCGAACTTCTTCGGTTTTTGAAAGCCACAAGGGAGCAAAAACTCGCAGGTCATCTATATGAAAGGCCAAAAGCCCACCAACTTTGTCACACAGTTCTGGATGTTTTGTGTGCAGTTGAGCCAAAATATTGTCACAACCTATTAAGTACCTGGAGACAGAATTTAGATACATCTCAAGTTTCAATGGTGAGCCAAAGAAAGAAACTATAATATAAAATACAGTATATAAGTACTATTTTAAGAAATTAATCAAGTTTATACTTAAAGCAAAGCTTGACTCAATAGTCAAGTGAATGCATTATGTCCAATGTAAATATAAAAAGCCTTAGGCTTCCAGAATTTCATATTGTTAGAAATTGTTAATAGCCAAATATAAGCAGCACTAGAGCATTAACTTCCTTCCAAGATACCCAAAATGGAAGTGATGGATAAATACCTAGCGCTTAAAGTACATCACTAAAGAAAAAGAATGAACAAAATGAATAAGAAACTAGTAAGAAAACAGTAAATACCCATAATATGCCGCAACAGGTCTTCCTTTCTCTGCACCAAGTTCCCAAGGTAGAATTGGACCACGGATTATCATGTCTGCATCCAGAATGACAACCCAGTCAACGTTTTTTGCATCCTTACTATGCTTAAGCCAGTGGACAACCCCAGCAGGTTTGTTTATTGCAGGGTACCTGCAAAAGTGGACGGAAGATTCATTTTCATCCTTCTATCTTCGGCAAATGTTCATGCTTTTGTAGAAATATGGGTGATATGGGAATGAACAAACACTTAGGAGTGATTAGTTCGAGAAAATACTTTTTATTTACTTTGATGCTTGTAAGAAATACTGAAAATAGCTTTCTACTGTTTTCTGTTTTCATTTTTTTTTTTTCACTTTCTTCTGCAAAAAAGGTTTTGAATAAGAAAGCAAAGAGAAAACAGAAAATGAAAATAAAGAGACGTCAATGGTCACTTACGAATACCAAAGTACTAGCAGAAATATTTTCATTATGAAGCAAGAGTATATAAGTTACTCATACAATACCCTGCACTGAAAATAACTTTCTACTCTTTTCTGTTTTCACTTATTTCTACATAAAGTTTTGAATAAGAAAATAGAGTGAAAACAGAAAATGAAAATAAAGAAACATTTAACGGTCACTTATACAATACCAAAGTACTAGCATAAATATTTTCATTATGAAAAAAGGGTATCAAAATTACTCATCCAATATCCTGCACTAATTGGTGACGAGCGCAAGCTCAATGGTCTTATGTACAATCAAAACATGGTATTGTTGACATCAGGAAATTTCTTGTCAACCTCACAAGCCATACCTGTAACTGTTGTACGCCACACAATTCAGTCACCACACCAACCCACAATTTATACACACACTGTTTCAAGAACTCAGATCCTGCCCCTAGACATGCCTAAGAAAAGATCAACAGAAGCAATTGCTACACAACTACACAGAAGAACAAATCATGAAGGGTTAAAAACTACCCTAGTAAGTAACCAACTAACATTGGACAACCAGAACCAAAACCATGTCATTAACCTCACTCCACAACAAAACCACACAAACCAATCCACATTCCAAACTCCAGATTCCAAAAGAAAAAACAAAACTTAAATGCAGTTCCATGGGAATTCCATGTGTTTTTAGAGCTGATTTCCAGTCAAAATTGATGTTTCACCTCAATGATCTACGTTGGCCTTTAATACAAATCTCTGTTACACGATTACCAAAGGGAAACTCCAATTCTAATTCAATATCAGTTCCAAAAACACCTCTGCAACAGCATTTATCCTTTGACATATTACCCCACCCAATAACAAAAAACGTTGCAACACTAATTATTTGTTATTTGTTTACCAGTCACCAGTTCTGGGGTGTTTACTCATGGAGGGCACCTCAAAGGTTGGCGCCAAATGCATCCCTTTGTATTTCTTCTTCTCCTCATCAGTGCAGCTGAGGAGTCTTGTGATGGGTCCAGGCTGCTTGGCCTTCCTGTAACTGTTCATCAGCCCCACCGTCTGCCAGTCGAAGTAGTTCTGACATTCCACAGAGAAGAGAGTGTGGATCCTCCCTGTTGGAGACTTCCTTGCCCCTTCAATGCCCACCACACCCACCACCACCATCACAATCAAAATCCAAACTTTCCCCATGCCAGCTCGATTTGAAGGTCAGAAACCAAAAGGGTATCGTCTGAAAGATCCGAATTTCATCTCATGACTCTGATCTCTCCACGCTGAGCTTGCAATGCTGAAGTCAAAATTCCAAGTTTTCGTGTGAACAATATATTAATAATATGATATGATGAGATGGGATTAGATGGGAGAAAAGGAGGATAAAATGCAATTGCCCAATTTGCGAAAAATAAACTGATTAAAGAATAATAATTTTGCAGTTCAATAATTAAATTAAGTAATTATTAATGTGGGAACGAATCTGGAAAGTGCGAGTGTAGTTGTTATTACTTAAGAAAGTAGTGCATACTGAACACGCATGTGATCTTTGAATCTTCAACACTTTGACGTTTTTTTTTTATTTTGGTTTTTGTTTTGTTGTGCGAAAAAGAGAGGGTTTTTCATTTCCTTCGTGCATGTTGGTGGTGGTGGAGACTACCTTCTGTTCTGTAGCTGATTCGCTGGAAGAGGAAGATACATACTCTCTTAGCCTAATGAATGAAGCGTCGTCGTTTGTTGTTTGTTAGCCTGTCTCTTCATTAAATCATTATTGTACTTCAAAAATCAATTGCTCCTTACTTTTTCCAAAATCAAAAGAGGAAAATTTATTCCCTTTTGCAATAAAAGTGAGATAAGGTTGGTTGTTACTTTCTTCAAATTTTAGGAAAATTTTAAGGAAGAAAATATGTTATAACACTCTTTTGACACCTGTTTTCTATTTACCACACTTAATAAAAAATTATAAAAGTATATTATATATATATACATATATATATATATATATATATATATATATATATATATATATATATATATATATATAAGAGATGAAAAATGATAATATCTGTAACGTCAAAGTTTGAAAAAATACAGCATCAAGTAATTATAAGTTGTTGTTGATACGTTTAATTGTAATTATTTTAAATGTCAAAAAAATTGTAATACTTGATAATTTTGTAATCAAATTATAAAAAAATAATTATTTGACATTAATGAGATATGTTGGTAATATTTTTATGAGTTTCATATATAAAAGATGTAATTTATTTACTCTTAAAATAAAATATAGTATATTCAAAAGAAGTTGATAATAATAATTATTTAAAAATAAAAATTAATATTTTATTATAAGTTTCATGTTTAAATTATTTAAAAATAAAATAAAAAAATTTATTTAAATGACTCTAACTAAATTTAAAATAATTTATATGTAGAACTTATAATAAAATATTTAATTTTATTTTTAAATCATTCTTATTAAAAAACTTCATTTGAAAATATGTTTATAATATTTTCTCCTAAAAAAATTCTTCAAATTTTGAATTTCTTCTATCAGCTTCCTTCCATACCTTAATTATCCTGTAAAAGATTTTAAAATTGATTTGAATTTTGAAAAAGGCTTTATAAATAGTTTCCAACTCATTTGGAAGAACTTACATTTTTCAAAACATAATATTTACTCATTCACCATCTTTTTTGAATGGTGACAACATTTTTTAATTATATATCTTTGTTTTTTTCATGGTTGATCTTTACGTAGAAATGATAAAATGGGTCAGCTCGTCAATCCGCCATTATATGGCGGGACAAGTTAATTCTTTTAGCCTGTTAACCCATTTTGGTGCGTCCCGCTAAACCTGTCAACCCAATTCGCGGGGCGAGTCAGCCTGCGATCCATTTTACTAATAATTTTTTCTCAGTATCTCACTATTAAAAGAATTCAAAAAAATTTATAATTACTTAAACTTGAAAAACACTTTCCTTTCTTAAGCACAAACATCTCTCTCCTCTTACTCATTATCTTCTTCTTGCTCATTATTTTTCATAAGGTAAAAATCATATATATCTCATACTTTTTTACTCGTTTTATTGAAAGATTTGATTTAAAAATAATAAAATAAAATAAGAAATATGACGAGTCAACTCGTCGACTCGCCCTTTGACGGGACGAGTCGAGACTTGTAGCTTGCCATGACTATAGCAGACTAGCCCGCCCCACTCCGCTTTTGATGGGTCAAAGGCGAGACGGGCCAAAACGGTGCGGACTGACTCGTTTTGTCATCCCTATCTTTAGGGAATCTCATGTTTCCTTATTCAATCTTCAACTTGAAAATCTTCTTTTATCCATTTTTGGATAAAGCAAATAAAGGTATACCTTGTTTTGTTATTCAATTACAGGGTGTTAAAGTCTTTCAAGGTCCATTGTACTTAGGGATGACAAAGCAGGTCGATCGCCTCAATTTAGCTCGCCAAAAGCGCGACAGGAGGAGTTAGTCTCGCTATAGTCATGGCGGGTTACGGGTCTCGATCCAGTCCGATCAAAGGGCGGGCTAGCCTATCATATTTCTTATTATATTTTATTTAAATCAAAATTTTCAATAAATTTAATAATAAAATTATCATAGTCAACAATTCAATATATATATATATATATATATATATATATATTTCAAGTTAATAATACAAATTGATATATTATTTTAATAAATTATATTTTAGAAAAATTAAATTAAGATAAAATTTATATAATAATAAATACATGTATGTAATAGCAAAAAAATTTAATTCTTATAGTAGTGAGATACTGAGACTTTATGAATTCTCTTTATGAGACACTGAGACTTTTAAAATTCTCTTTTCACAATAAAAAAAACTATTAATAAAGCAGGTTGCGAGCTGGGTTGGCCTGACGGCTTGGCAGACTTAGTGGAACGGGAAAAAACAAGTTGATGGATCGAAAGTACTAACCTGCCCACCATATTATGACGAGTTGGCCGGTCTGCCCACTAGATCTGATCCATTTTATTATTTCTAATTGTACTTGAGTTCTAAACTCACTAACATTTCTTTGTGGAATAATGTTGATATTAGATAAATTGATCTACGTCTCCCTTTTCTTTATCTAGTAAAACTAATAAATTCTCACCCATTAGAAATTAAACTTTGATATCAAAATGTAAAAGAATAAAAGAAAAAAAAAAAGAAGAAAAAAAGAGTTGTGGTTTTTACTATACCTTCCTGTTTTTTTACTCTTTTGTTTATAGTAGTGGTTTTTAACAAGTATTTTATGTTGTTGTTTTTTTCTTGTTTTCAACCTATTCTTTCGTATATGGTCATGCTTGAACTTGTATTAATTATTTTGCTTGTAGTAGTAGATGACAAGCTTAAATGTATTTTATCTTTTTATTTTTTATGCTAATTCATCTTTCTCATGAGTCTTTTTCACCAAAATGTCACTTCACTATGAGCATGCATTTCATATGTTTTTTTTTTTTTTTTTACTAGCATCTCTTTTAATGTTATAAAGTGTGAATGTTTTATTAATATTTTTCATAAACATTCTCCATAAAAAAAGAACTAAGTACATTTATCTCTTCATATTAATGCTAAAGGATATGCATTGTCAAATCATAACTACACATGCAACATGAAAAGGATTAAGTAGATACATATTAAAAAAAAATATAGACAAATGATAGATATGTTTTATATAAAGTGTAAAAGGATATGAATGTTCATATCATTCAACATATTGTTATATTTATTTAAGATGATTATTTAAGATTTTCACTTAACCAACATATTAAACAAGAATTTAGAGTTATTTAAGGTTTCATCAAACAACAAAATTACCATTGTTCAACCTAAATCAACTATAATAATGACCCAACAAATTTCAGTTGAAGTCCATTGAACAAATTTAAGAAAAGTCACCATTAAGATGAGAAGAATGTGTTGTACCTCCAGGAGAGGAAAAAAAAACACTTTGATATTTAAGTTTGTATATTATTAAAAAAAAAAAAACTCCAAACTCTATTGCCTAGAGAAATGTTATAAAAAAAATACATACTTATCCACTCTCACATGTTTTAAAAAATTAAATAAATAGACTAATTTTTAATTTTAATATGTTTTTTTATGTGTTACATTTTTAGTCAATATTTATATAGTCCATAATTTTAGGTCAATTTTTATTTTTTTATCAAATTTTTTAGTTAATTAAAACTTATTTCGTGATAGTATCTTAAAATATCTTAAAATTAAGATTCAACCAAAATTAGGATATTAATTTAATTTGAAAGATTGATATAAAAAAAATGAAAAATAATTTAAAAAAATTGAATTAAACTTATTTTCATTATATCATGATTTAGTTAATCTTAATCTAAACTAATTTATTAATTTATGAATCAATTTACTTTATAAAATAATAATTATTTTTAAATAAAAATAAAAATAATATTATTTTAATATTTTATTTATTTTAAAAACAAATATAAAAATAATTTTTTAATATTTATTTATTTTAAGATTCAATTATTAAAATATATTATTATTTTAATTAATAAATTATTAAAATAAATAATAATGATAATACAAAATAATTTTTTAGTTCTTATTGACTTTTTTTATAAATCATATATTACATTATTGTATTTAAAATAAAACTTAATTTTATTAATATAATTTATATTTTAAAAGTATATATTTTTATTTTTGTTTTTATATTTTTTAATTAATTATTTAATATAAACACATTAATAATTTTTTTAATTTTTAATCAGATTAAAATTGATATTATTAATCCATTAATTTAGTATTAGATAAAAAAATTATAATCTATTTAAAAATATAAATAAGTTAATTTAATATTAAAATATTATAATCAACTTAAAAATATAGATGGAAGAGGAGCAATGGGCAACCTAAATCATATCAATAAATATAAAAATAAGAATTAAACTAAAATTATAGATTTTTTAGGATTAAAGTAAAACAAAAGCAAAATCAAAATCACTGATAAAAGATTAAAAGTGACCGAATTTCCAATTTAAACCTCAAAACTAAACCTCAGAATTGAGAGAGGAAATTGGATTGAAGTGTCGCTGACACACTCCGAAACGCGTTCAGGGTTTAAGAGTTGCGGAACCTCCGAAAGTAGAACCTATTGCTTGAACAGGAACATAAACGGTGTAAGCATCTCATTTCGCTCGTTTATTCTCGCTTCTTCACATTGTTCAATGATTTATAATCGCCAATTGTATTCTTCTGCCACCAATCTTTTCAAACTCACCCATCAATTCTCACTTCTCTCCCGCGCTCATTCGTTGGTTTCCCCACTACCCTTTACCCGAAAGCTAACGTTTTTGGCCTCTTCGTCGAGATTCGCCCACACCCCACGTTTGTGCAATGGCTCAAATCTTGTGGGGATGAGAGTCATGAGATATTATTGCCATGACAGTGGTGGGTCTAGGGAGTGGACTGAAGAAATTGAGTACTTGGATGAATCTGGTGGTGTTATTTACAAGGGTAAGGGTGTGAGGTCTGTCGAGCCTGGAGTTGATGATCATGTGATGGTGGGTGAGGTGAAGAAGCCCTTTGTGAATGCCGTGGCTGTAGCAAAAATTGTTGAGGTTGTGAAAAGGTGGAAGTGGGGGCCAGAACTGGAGACTCAATTGGACAAGCTGCAGTTTGTGCCCAACATGACTCACATTGCTCAAGCACTGAAACTTGTTGGTGATGCTGATGCTTGTTTGAGTTTGTTTAGGTGGGCCAAGAGGCAAGCTTGGTATGCCACAAGTGATGAATGTTATGTAATGTTGTTTGATGAGTTGAATCAAAAGAGAGATTTTGAGGGGATTCAGTTGTTGTTTGATGAGATGGTTGGTGATTCGGCTGATGGGGTTTCCTTGTTTGCGGCGTGTAATAGGGTGATTCGGTACTTGGCTAAGGCGGAGAAGTTAGAGGTGTCGTTTTGCTGCTTCAAGAAAATACTGGATGCTGGTTGTAAAGTTGATACTGAGACGTATAATTCGCTCGTTACTTTGTTTTTGAACAAGGGTTTGCCTTACAAGGCGTTTGAAATGTATGAGAGCATGGAGAAAGCTGGCTGTTCGTTGGATGGTTCGACATATGAATTGATGATCCCGAACTTGGCTAAGTCAGGGCGTCTTGATGCTGCTTTCAAACTCTTCCAAGAAATGAAAGAGAGAGGTTTTCGCCCCTGTTTGAGCGTCTTTGTGTCTCTTGTTGATTCTATGGGGAAGGCGGGCAGGTTGGACAGTGCAATGAAAGTATACATGGAGATGCGAGGTTATGGGTACAAGCCACCCCCTACTATATATGTTTCTTTGATTGAGTCTTATGTGAAGTCTGGGAAGTTAGAAACTGCTCTAAGGCTTTGGGATGAGATGAGGATGGCAGGTTTCAGGCCTAACTTTGGGTTGTATACTTTGATCATTGAATCCCACGCAAAATCAGGCAAGCTTGACATTGCTATGTCTACATATTTAGATATGGAGAAAGCAGGGTTTCTACCCACCCCATCTACATATTCTTGTCTATTGGAAATGCATGCTGCATCTGGACAAATTGATCCCGCCATGAAATTGTACAATTCAATGACTAATGCAGGTTTAAGGCCTGGCCTAAGCACTTACACCGTGCTTTTGACTCTACTAGCTAATAAGAAGCTGGTGGATGTGGCTGCCAAAATTCTACTTGAAATGAAGGCCATGGGATATTCTGTGGATGTGACAGCTAGTGATGTTTTGATGGTGTATATTAAGGAAGGTTCGGTTGATCTTGCTTTGAGGTGGCTGCGTTTCATGGGTTCATCTGGGATCAGAACCAATAATTTTATTATCAGGCAGTTGTTCGAGTCATGCATGAAGAGTGGGTTATATGAATCAGCCAAGCCACTTCTGGAAACATATGTTAACTCTGCTGCTAAAGTTGATTTGATACTTTACACCTCCATTTTGGCTCATCTTGTTAGGTGTCAGGAAGAGAAAAATGAGAGGCATTTAATGTCTATTCTCAGTTCTACAAAACATAAGGCGCACACTTTTATGTGTGGACTTTTCACGGGCCCAGAACATAGGGGACAACCGGTGTTATCTTTTGTCCGAGAATTCTTTCAAGGTATTGATTATGAATTGGAGGAGGGTGCTGCTAAGTACTTTGTCAATGTTCTTCTCAATTACCTAGTTCTCATGGGGCAGATAAATCGAGCTCGATGTGTTTGGAAGGTTGCTTATGAGAATAAACTTTTCCCAAAGGCTATAGTCTTTGATCAGCACATTGCTTGGTCTCTTGATGTTAGAAACTTGTCAGTTGGCGCCGCTCTTATTGCAGTAGTGCATACTCTTCATAGATTCAGAAAGCGCATGTTATATTATGGCATTGTGCCAAGACGGATAAAATTGGTTACTGGAGCAACTCTTAAGATTGTGATTGCACAGATGCTGAGCTCTGTAGAGTCCCCTTTTGAGGTGAGTAAAGTGGTTCTTAGGGCATCAGGAGATTCAGTCATGGAGTGGTTTAAGAAACCAATTGTTCAGCAGTTTCTTCTGAATGAAATTCCATCTAGGTCTGATATTCTAATGCACAGGATGAACATACTTTTCCCTAGTTCTGCACCTGAAGTTAGATCTCTATCTCCTCCTAAGCCTCTCATTGCAGGCAGGACAATGTAAACAGTTTTTATATCTATGGTTAGTAACTGGTTTTTAAAATTTTATTGTTAGTCCAATGTCGTAGAGTGCTGCTCACTCTTATGTCTCAAAGCTGATGCTACAAAGACATGTACTATTTAAGCATTTGGAGTAGAATCTCTGAGGATTCACATTCTTCACCATTTACAGGAGATGAAGAGTATGCTAGCTATCTCACGATTAGGGTATTCATACAAGTCAAATTAGGGTTTTCTATCTTGGTGTAATTAGGATTGGTGTAGCTCGCATATTAGAGGATTATTTCATACTTATTTCTCAGGTTTTAATTAATTGTTATTATTGAGGAATTACGAGCCCTCTTTCGGCTTCTTCCCAATTCTCTTTGCTCTCTAAATTTTCCTTCTTTCTTTTTCCTCTTTCCTCTGTGGGAAGACTCTACTTCATGCAGTGGCTTTCCCTTTCGGGAGAGGCTCGGTCGAAAAAGAAAAGAATAACAATTTCAGAAAAAGGCTGTAAAATTGAAAGTACTTTCCACTCAAACATCATTTAGCAGAATAAACCACTTAATTTGAAATTACATTAATGATATTAAATTACAGATATAATATCAGAAGCTGGAAATCAGAGGGCTATCTACAATGTGAACAGATAGGACATTTTTACTGTGCCTGTTACATGGAAAGATTTATTTGACAGACCAAGCTAAGGCATTTTTGCACAAATCCTTTGACAATGTCATTTTGGCAATTAATCTAGTTATAAATGTCACTACTATCTGTTCAGAATTAACTGGTATATCAGTATTGCATTTGGTATATTTACATATTTTAAAATAATATTACACATCTTTTCAGATAGACTTGGTAGCCAGAATGTTATGATCTTATTGTCGTCAAACTGAATGTAATAAAACATCATAGAATGATCTATGTAGTAAATAGAGCATCACCTTATTGCCCCTAAAGTTACAGTTAGTTGTTCTGGATTAAATTCTTACATATATATACCCAAAGAGTTTGAAATAATCATCACAAAGAATCAATACTGAATGTTGATAAACGCTTTATGCTTCTGAATAACATTTGTCTTCTTTTAGCTTGTGGGATCCTTTGGTCCAAAAGAGCAATGCCTGTTGAACGATCACACTAAGCTGTGGATTACTTCCATGTGCCTCCTTATTCTGAATTAATCTGAAAGTGGATTTGTTGGTTGGTATGGTTATCCATATTAAAATTCTTTAAACTTGACATCTCAACGTGGATTTATTGGTTGACATGGTTCTCCATATTACCAACTCTCTAAAGTTGATACATCTGTATTTTACATCCCATATTCCATGAGGGATATTATTTTAGTTTATGTTTCATGACTTCATCAAGTATACATTTTTACTTACTTTTATAAGTTTGGCAACATGTGAGAACTAGAAAGTACTAATACATGCCACTTTGAACCAATTTTAGTGACCATGATTGTGCCTAAACCAAAATGACATCTAAAATAATGATTTCAATGGAACCTCTAAAACAAGTCTGTTTTGGTGCATAGAAAACATATTGTGGGATTTGTTAACGGCCCGAATTTTCAAAAAGCTTTTCGGTTCTTGCATTGTCAAGTCTTGACCCCTAAAGAATTTAGTAGAAATCTTGTGTTAACATTCAGTTTTCATGTAATGTTTTACAAAGTTGCACTTGCATGGTTGGATGTTTTGCATATAAATTGATATGTGCTGATATAACATACAGTACAAAGATATGTTTTGAAAAAAGCGAATGCTAAATTATTGCATTGTACCAAGACGGATAAAATTGGTTACAGGAGCTAAGCAACTCTAAAGATTGTGATTGCATAAATATTGAGCAAGTAATAAAGTAGTTCTTAGGGCGTTGTGACACTGTCATGGAGCGGTTTAAGAAACCAATCATTCAGAAGAATCTTCTTAATGGAATAATATGGGTGGTTCAATGTAAGCGGTTTTAATGTCTATGGTCAGTAACTGGCATTTTAGATGTTATTGTTAGTCCAATGTTATAGAGTGGTACACCATTTTCATGTGTTCTGAAAGCTGAGGCTATAAACAGGTATGTACTATTTAAGAATCTGGAACATAACTTTTGAAGATTCATATTCTTTTCTACCCCCACCCACACTTTTGGAGAAGTGTGGTTTCTCATGATCACATCAAGTCTATGTAAAATTAGAGTTTTCCATCTTGGTGAATAAGGATTGGTTTAGTTACTGGTTTAATTACCTTACTAGAGGATTATTGTGTATACTTATTTTCCCGGTTTTAATTCATTGTTCTCATTGAGGAGTATTAGCCCTGTTTTGACGTCCCCCATTATTCTCCCCCTCTCTTGATTTTCCTTCATTCTTTTTCTTATTTTCCCTATGGTAAGACAATACTTTGTACAGTGCATTTTCCTTTTTGGAGAGGCTCTTTTAAAAGAAAAAAAAAAAACTGCTTTAGAAAAAGGCTAGGTAATTGAGAGTACTTTCCCTTCAAACATCATTTAGCAGAGGAAATCACCAATTTGGAATTGATATTAATGATATTGAGGTGAAAGATTGGAAACTCAGAGAGCAGGCTACAATATGAACAGATGGTGTGTTATTTTTGTGCCTGTTACATGGAAAGTTGTCAGACCAAGCAAAGGCGTTTTGCATGAATCGTTTTCATGAGTACTATTTAGCAATCAATCTATAGACACAAATGTCACTTCTGAATCTAGTTACCACAATCTTCATAGAGTTAAATGGTATATTAACTTGCATTTTGATATATTTTATTAAAAAAATACTACATCGCAGTAACGTTTTCAGTTAGACAAGGATGGCTTCTTGCTACCCATAATGTTACAATCTTATTATCAAAGTGAACATAACAAAACATCAGAGAATGATTTCTGCAGTATATAGAGCTGCACATCATTGCCCCTAATGTTCTAGTTAGTTGTTCTGGATTTAATTCCTGGATATTCCCCTAATGATTCTTTAGTGTTAACACTCAATTTTCACTGTTGGTCTACTTTCTTATTATTGGTTACAAGTGCAATTTGAAAGTTGAAAGTTCTGTATTCATTTCTGGTTAAAATAGTATTTATTTTTCAATCACAAAACGAAGAAAGATTATGGTTTTGTGAAAGAAATCAATGGGGGATAATGATACATTGTGTCAACTAAGTTTTTAGGTACTAGTAACTGAAAAATGAACACCATTTTTTAATCAAATTATGCAGAAAGATCTTCTATTCACAGTGACTAATTTCTAATTGAAGATATGGGTTTATTCTTTCATATATTTATCACCCATCGTATTTAAATTTGAAATCTTGCCACTTTTGGGTGTATCTGATAGCTTGCAGAATAATGCTTGTTGTTAGTACTAATATAAGTTATTAGTTACTCTCATTGAACTTGTCATGTTCTCAATGTGCTTCCGGGGAAATTTATCAGAGGCTAAGTTTGTTCATTCAAGTTCTTATTCCATTTTGGTTATAGCATAATTTTAGTACTTGTTTAATGTTTTCAAAAATATATTTTAGTTTTTTTAATTTTTAAAAACTGAAAAGTTAAAATTGATAAAATATGTTTTCTTGTTTCATTAGTTATATTAACATCTTTACTAATACTTATACTAAGTCTTTTGTACTCGATATCAAAATTATTTTTCAATTTTTGTTGTCAGTATCATTATTTTTGTCTAAAATAGTTTTTAAAATTAGAATTATTTTTTTTAATTATTTTATAATAGATTTTTAAAAATAATTTCTAAAACATTTTTTTAAAAACTAAAAAAAATATTTTTTTTTAATTCTATATGTGATTTTAGTCTTTTTAATTTATTTTTAAAATTTCAGTTTTTTTTGTATTTTAAAAAATTGCATTTGGTTCAATCTTAATTTTGCATGTATTTTTTTCTGTTCTTAATATTTTAAGTAAATTATTGTTTATGTCACTTTAAATGAATATGTTAAGTTTAGGATTCAATTGGACGAAAATAATAAAGATAAATCGTATACAGAATTTGATTATTTTTTTAATTCAGGGACTAAATCTGCTGGAAAAAAATAGATATAATTATAGATAAAAATTAAAAGAAATTAAAATTACAATTTATCTATTTAATTTTAATTATAACCTCAAGATATTTTAAAACATTTTTAATACAGAGGTCGTACTTTTAGATTTTATTTAAAATCTCTATTGAATGATATTCATGTCACATGATAAAAATCTTAAATTTAGGACATTTATTTAAATATAAATTTTAAAGTATGTCTCTTTTCATACAAGAAAAAAGTTATAAAATAATTGTCATTTTAATCATTGAATGTAATAGAAATTATTATTTTATTTATATTCCTAATAATGTTAATAATGTACATTAGAAATTATAAACGAATTAATGATGTGTAAAATTGTTATACTCTTTCATTTCATCTATTCACTAACTTTCGTCGTTTTATTTTATCTATGTAAAGAAAAGCTTAAGACAACACTGGTTAAGAGTTAAAATAAGTAGTTATTATAAAAGTTAGACTGAATATCTCAAAGATATATTCATTAAGAAACTAAAAATAAAACTTTTCCATTATTAAAAAGTTATTAATGTACTTTTAATATTTACAACAAAAGTTCTAATAAGAATTTTTTATCTTTTATTTTATTTTTTAACTAATACATTAATACGTTTTAATCATAATAACTTGATTAAAAAATGTAAGTATAAATCTAAGTTTCATGTTGAATATAATGTTAATCTCTTGTTGAATTTGTCTCATTATTAATGTCTTTTCTGGATTAAATCTCTACACATATATTATATAAAATAGTCATCACTTTAAGCATGTTAACTATTAAATATAATTTATATTTTTATTTAGATTTATTATAAAATTTTATATTATTATAAATATCATTAATAAAATTTAATTATGAAAGATTGTAATTTTAATAAATTTTAATTATGAAAGATTGTGATTTTAATAAATTAAGTAATAATGATATTATATATCTAACTAACGTAGATAAAATTCTACTTATTCATTTATAATATAATGTCATTGCCTGTGTTTTTTATTGGAGATAAAAATCGTAAATATTATTGATAAATTTAAATTATAAAATATTATGATTTTAATTAATTAAGTATGTTAATGATGTGAAATTTCATTATAATCCCTCAGAATTGACTTTGTTACTATATTAAAAAAAATGGTTCTAATTCAACCTTGTGACTCTCTGTAATCGTTCATTTATACTATAACATCTTCATGATTTGAGATTAAAAAAAAAAAAAATTATAAAATTGCAGTAGTAGCTAACTAATCTAAACGTGTTTTTAATTAAGGAAATTTAAAAGCATAAAGTTATGGCTGCTTTCTCCCGTGAAAAGGAAGAACAAGAAGAATGATTGATGGTAACAAGCTGCAGAAAGTGACCAAACAAGGAAAACCTTGGACACTTCATAATGATGTGTGTGACAACTTTAATAAAACCGCCAGTTTCAGTGGAGACAAGAAAAAGTGGCCATCTTACAACTCTGCATTTTTTATCCCACACATATATAACAATGTGGATCAGGTGTAAATTAATTTGTAAGAAAAGTTAAATACATTTTTAAAAATTTTAATGTTGGTGAGGAGTTCAATCCAAGAGCAAACCATGACAAAGGATCCAATTCACATTCATCAATGGAAGCACATAGCAACAGCATTGGGGTTGGGGGATAGACAATGAAGGAATGAAAGTGGCATTCTTCATGACATGATATTTTGCAGCATTTTATTGCTTCTGGGGCAGTTTTAAGAGGGTGTTATGCTTATTATTGCCTATTTTCCAAGAAGGAAAAATCTTTCTCAAGAGGACAGAAGGTTTCCCATGACAGAATGGAATCAAAACCATCAACCCATTGGTGCAAGGAATTCTCTTGAAGGTAAGAGGATTCACCCACAGAAAGGTTGCTAGAATCATCCAGTGAGAAAGAAGATGAACTACAATAAGAACTAGTGCTGGTTTTGGTTTCTTGGTTCATCCATGATCCTAACTCCAACTGTGACCATAACACTTCATAATTGTTCAAAAATCCAGTGGTATCATCCCATGTCATCATCACCTTGTTTTCTTCCATTTTCTTTTCTGATTTTGGCTCTTCTCCTGTGGCATGCATGTCCAAAGACTTGGTCTCCACACCTTGTCCAGACCCTTTCGAAGTGCTTTTTGGAATCATGTCTGCCTTATTTTTGTCATCACCAGACTGTTCCTTTTGCTCAATTGGTTTCAGGGTCAAAGGGTCCAAACCAAGGAGCTTCAACCTCTTTTTGATTTTTGTGTTCCAATGGTTCTTGATTTCATTGTCTGTCCTCCCTGGAAAATGGGAAGCAATCTTAGACCACCTGAAAATTGTGCTTCATTGTGTTAGAAGAAATTAGTATCCATTGATATCTTTTTAGATTACAGTAGGATCATTTCACAAAAAAGGTTCTAAAAGATTGTGGTTTTGGTGGCATAGTTAAGGTTTTTGAACTTGCTGTGACTATCTGTAATATTCTATAGTATCAAGGATCACAACAAAATGCAATTACATTTTCTACTTAAAAGCTTGATTTTAAAATCTTCTTCACATACACTGTCTAAAAATCATGCCATATATTTTTTAGTGCAAAGAAAATTCAGAAACATGTAATAGAAATACCTGTTACCAAGACATGAATGTAGCTGTATAATCTGATCCTCTTCCATTTCAGTAAGTCCACCTCTCTTGAGGTCTGGCCTCAGATAATTAATCCATCTCAATCTGCAGCTCTTTCCACATCTTAACAATCCTTCATCACCATGCCAAACAAAGAGAAAAATCACAATTCAAATACATACACAACTTTAAGGCAAAGTCATATGTGAACAATTTTTTTCAGAAAATAAATACCTGCTAGCTTGGGAACTGCTCTCCAGCAGTGAATACCATTGTTGAGAATGAAATTCATAAGCTTCTGATCTTCCTCAATAGTCCATGGACCTCTCTTCAAACCAACCTTATCACAACAAGGTTGTCTTCCCATTTTGGAACCTACCCCTTTGCCAAGTCAAGATACTACTATTCCCTTGAGAGTTAACAAGTATGTGACATTAAAAGGAGGGCACTTAAAAAGGAGCTTAATTAAGGTTCAAGCAAAGATGCTGCCAGTTCATTCAGACATTTAAATAAAGGCAAGGTGTCCTTTGAGAGGTGTGACAAATTATTGGATGGAAAGCACTTTAGTTGAAAGCTATGGAAGGCATGGAGGGGTTGTCATTATAAAATGATGGTCACCACCACCCAGACAAGATGAAGAGTTTCTGTCCAACCAGAAAATTTTTCAACGGAAAAAAAAAAAAAAGAACCAGATTTGAGTCCACCATGTTGACAATTTTTCATTATTTGGTGCCAAAATCTTCTCTTGTTGATAACATTCAATGTCAGCACCATAAAAATATTGTGTTTGATGGGATTCCCTGTTCACAAAATGGCTGGCACACTTTGTCCTTCTTGGCAATTCCTTCTTATCTTTCACTGCATAAGTGCCTTCACCAATTATGCATTGATATCATGAAATTCTTCCATTGATTTGGGGGACTGGAACCTTGGTACATTGGTAATGAATAAGGCACAACAAAGGTATATATGCAAAGCAATCAGAATATAAAACTTAATTGCATGTTTGCTTTAACTGTTCTATCTCAACTTAATCCTATCTTTGAGTTAATCCAGTAAGTTTTTGCCATTTACAGTTTGAGTGATATTGAGTTTAAATTTCTTAAGCATTATATTCAAATTTTAAATGTGATTGAAAGAAAAATTAAAAATAGTTAGTCAAATTTTCTAATAGAAATAAATAATCATTAAAATTGTTGAATATTACATCAATAACATGCTTTCTTGAAATATGTATTAATATTTTGCAATAATAAATTTAGGAGGAGGAATGACATTAATACAAAGTAAGAAAAGTCTCCCTCACTGTTAAGAACAAATATGAAGAAATTACATTGAATCCATATTAAAGAAACTAGTGGTGTTTTGGATGTGTGACAAGTCATATCTTATTCTTCATTCAATCAATCTTTTTTAGTTTTTGGAACAGAGGAATGTTACTAACACAGTCTCTATGAGTGTTTATTTTTTCAAAGTTTAAACATTTGGAAAAAGGACATGAATATGCATAAATTGAAGCAAGAGGGGTGTTAATTTTAATCACTCAAAAGATAAAGGAGATGGTAAAAAAGTGCATCTATATGCTTTGGCATCTTTATCCGTGTACTATGTGTCTCACCACCTCTGGTTTTCTTCATAAGTTTAGAAGCTAGAAACAAAATCAATAATGGTGAGTGAGACTGAGACAAAAGTACTTGCTGTACGGTTTTTGCACTTATGTGTAAAATGTCAAAACTACAACATAGGTTTAACCAAATTGCTAAAATCAATAGTTTATGTGAATTGCCCTAGGAGATCTCCTGAGTAATGATTCAGCATGATTAAGAGGCACCAAAGACCCTAAAATCAGGGGAAAAAATGGTTAAGTTGGTGGCCCTTAAGCCTTTATAATAAGTTGCACACAAAGAACTAGGTAATTCAGAACCCACCATAACCCTAACTAAGAGACATTAGTGTCACAACACAAACATCTGAAAATTTGTTGCACCATATAATCAAGCTTAAGATGAGTTATGTACATATTAATAATTGAAACATTGATCATAATGTCTAAATGAGTTTTTATGTTAAGATTAAATGGTATTAAAGAGTATGAATATTATATATATTAGCGGAAATTCATATGTATACCCTACCCGTGTCTGCATTTTTATTATATTTTTATTTTAATTTATTAAAATTTAATATATATATATATATATATATTAATTTCAAAATATTTTTTTTTATAAAATTATGAATTATTGAAGATAAATAAATAAAATAGAGTTTTAAGTTAAGAAAAAAATGAAAAAAATAAACGTATATTACAAAGATATGATATTTTTTTATTATTTTATATTTGAGAAAAAAGAAATTCCAGGGATACATAGGATTAAGAGAAGTTAATAAAAAAAAGATATAAAATAAATATAAGTTATATCTTTTTCTCCCTCTTATCACAATAAAAAAATAATTAATTTCTTTTAAAATATTATTTTAAATTTTATTTTATTTTCTCTTTTTTTAATATATAATTCATACTACACTTTTTTAATTATAATACTTTTTTTTCTTTCATACAACTAAAGACCAATTATAAAAATTATTACAAAAGAAATATTTTTATATTAGTTATGGATTATAATATATATATATATATATATATATATATATATATATAATCATATATGAAGAGTAAAAAAATATTTATTGTTAAAAAAATATTATATGTAATATTAATTATTTTTAGTTATATTTTAACAATAAATATTTTTTTACTCTTCATATATGATTATATATATATATATATATATATATATATATATATATATATATATATTTTTAAATGCATACATCAAAACATGTGTTTTGTAAACATTAAGAAAACAAAATTAAATATTTAAGATTATAAATTAATAATTATTTCAGTCTATAGAAATTAAAAATAATTTACATACACATTTTTTTAATATATTAAAATATATTTTAAAAATAAAATAATGATAGATTAAAACTTTAAGATGATAAATGCTAAGTTGCACACTAGATGAACAAGAAAAAAAAACTAAATAGGTTTTAATGAGTTATGTAGAAACTGCTTCAACGACCACGAATAATACACGTTGTGTATTGTCAGAGTTATTTTAAAACCATTTAACCGTTATGCATGATCATAAAATATGTTGTTAAGTTAGTATTTTCGACTTCTATATATTAAATACTTATTTATATTAACTTGTAATTATTTAATTATGATTTCACTCATCTATTTTTGTTATAATTTAATTAATAGTCCACAATAGTAATAATAATAGTTATATGATGAATTTTCTAAGGCTTCATAAATTCATGTATGTTCATATGCATCCCCCATAGCTTATATATAATAATAAGAATACAAAATTGTATCTTCCTTTGTACATGCACCACCCATAATATAGCACATTTAGGGACACAATTTCATTTGACAAAAATGTTTCTTCATGTGTTTGGTTCATGCACATAAATATTCTCTATTTTATATAAAAATGTACATAATACCTTTTTTTTTAATTTTTTTATCATACAAAATTCTTTTAATGATTGATGTTTTAATTTAATAATTGTTAACTACGGCTATCACTGCTTTTATTTAAATTAATAATATATTCTTTAAATACCTTAATATTAATTAATGTTTCACCTTTGGTTACACTATTATTATATATATTTGTTTTATGAGAAAAGCATTTAACAAAAATATTTATAAAAAAATAGTAAGATTTGATGCAATTAACTTGACTCGTTGATTACTTAAATTATGAGCCAATGGCTGGCGTAGCTTGTCAAGTTTTTGGACTGTTTTCTAGGGAATCTTAACAGAAAAAAATATGCTCACAAAAATTTAAATAAAATTATATTTGTCTGAATATGTTACTTTTTTTGGAAAATTAGATTATAGAATTTTAAATAAATTTTAACTATAAGATTAAGATAATGATTAATAGTTAGTTTATAAATTTAATGAGGGTTTGTATTTCAATAAAAACAGTAACTATTTTTGGTACTAGATATGTATAATTACGTTATGTAATATATTCACTATCCGTCGTTAAGTAATAAAATTCATCGGTAAATAGATATTACCAACGGATTATCGATGGGCCTAAATCCGTCGGTAACAGTGTTGTCGGTAAATTTTACCGACGGAATAGAAAATCTGTCAGTAAGTGTCATAGATACTTACCGATGGATATTCCGTCGGTAATTACTAATTATGCGCAAAACTTACCGACGGATAATCCGTCGGTAAATTCGTCGATAAAACCAGCTCTAGTTCCAGAGCAGTTTATTTTTTTCTCATCCCATATAACCTGTCAAATAATATTCAATCCAGCAGTCCAATTCAACAATATTCAATCCAGTCCAATTCAATAATATATTAAACAATTCAATTAAATATAAATCTAACTCACGTTAATCATAAGTAAATTCAAATGTGCTGTAATTTATGCATAATGAAACATAATGTACAATCCTAAAAAGAGGATCAACATACAAATAGAATTGAAATATTATTCTATAGATGTTTGTATAACATTTAATAACAAGAGTAATCAGGAGAATAATGTTCTGGTATGTTGTCCTGTGGTGGGTTATCTTGTTGCTCTTCATTCAATTGTTGTTGGGGTTGTTGTTCATCATGTGTTTCACTATGTTGACGCTGTTGAACAACAGATTGTGCAGTGGAGGGTAGAAGATGACCGACAAGGGATTGAAACTCTCTGAATTGGTGCTCTAGTCGTTCATTCTGCTCCCTTGTTCGACGTATTTCTTCTTCTTGTACGAGATAATCGTTGTCTCAACCGATTAATCTCTTCTAAGTCAAGCTGAGGAGCTCGGATGCTTGGAATTTGATTCTTCAAGCTATCTCGAACCACCACGATAGCCATCGGCAAGTTGTCCGACCCCATACAATCTTCCTTTATTCTTACCTCCAACTGTATCCACCCGACAACGGGACCTTATAACTTCATCATGTGCGAGAATCGGCGGAGTAGACTCGGGTTCGCCACCACAAGATCCAGCGAGATGACCTAGCTTGTGAAAGTCTACTTTCAAATTCCTCCTATTAGTAGAAACAAATCAATTATTAACATGATTATTAACTTTACATAATATACAAAATTTAACATGAAGGTTCTCACGTGTGTCTTCCTAGATCTTTCATCAACAAAATGACCCGTCTTCCTCCTAATATGAGTCTGTTGGAAGATCTCATCAATAAAAACTGATGTTCCAAGCTCCTTTGCCTATATTACATAAACAATTTGAGATATAAAACCCAATAAATATTGAATAAATCGTAAATGTATGATATAAAGACTTACCATACGTATGGCATGC